AATAGTAGGGGATTTTAATTTTCCTAACTTTGACTGGGATTGCCATTGTGTGAAGGGCTTGGATGGAGAGAAATTTTAGTGTTCAGGAAGAATTTCTCATTCAGTGCGTAGGTGGCTGTATTAAAAGGGAAAAACTTGACGACCTCTTGGGAAATACAGCAGGGCAAGTGACAGAACTGTTAGTGGGGGAGCACTTTGGGGCCAGTTACCATATTTCCATTAGTTTCAAAATAGCTGTGGAAAAGGATAGATCTAGTCCACAAGTTAAAGTTCTAAATTGGGGCAAGCCCAATTTTGATGGTCTTAGACAGGAACTTTCAAAAGTTGATTGGGGGAGGCTGTTTGCAGGCAAAGGTATATCTGATAAGTGGGAGGCTTTCAAAAGTGAGTTAGAGGGTTCAGGGCCAGTGTGTTCCTGTTATAGTGAGGGGTAACGTTGGCAGGTGTAGGGGAACTTGGATGACTAGAGTTATTGAGACCCTGGGCAATAGTGGACAGACTGTCATTAGCTACAGAGTCCCATTCAAGTTAATCAAGGGCATTATGTGATATCAGTCCAGGGGCCTGGACATGGTCAGTTGGCTGCTTGAGGTGTTCAGGGTCAGGAGCTCCATTTTACTGCAGTTGGAGAATAGGCCATGAGCAGTCCTACACTTCCAATGCAGCTAGTCCCAGGACTAGCAGTAAGTCACTTAGGAGCGATATCGGTTTCCCTCTGGTCGCAGTCTTCTACAAACTCTGGGATCTGAAAGAGACCAGATATTTTTCATTTTTTATGACCTTGTAAACTGAATTCAAGTTGGTTTGCAGTAACCAGATAAAAACCGGAAAATTTTGCAACTTGAAAGTCAAGGTACATATTGTTAAGTGCTGCATACAATGTTGCCTTTAAGAAACAAAACAACGGAAAATTTGAGACTGAACGGTGCCAAGAATCTTTTGAGTTAGAAATTTTGTCAACTTACTTGGTTGAACTACAATATTAAAAATGACTAAGTACCAAGCACTGCAGAGAGGTGAAAACATCCACCCCCATGTCTCTCTCTGTCTCTCTTTAATCTGTCCTCTCTATGAGGAAACTGGACAGAATATCCAAAAAAGCTTAAAAGAACTCTGCAAACAAAAGACCTAAATCTGCCTGGTCAATTATTAAGTCAAATGGCAATCAACACCATACAGTGCAAAAATCAAAAGGACTGAGACAAAAAGAACTTTCCAATTATGGTCTGGACTTGCCATCTTGGAAATTTTGTTTGCTCTTTAATTAATTTCTACCTATTAGTATATGGTATAACTGTCTTTTGTTTTTCTTAATTATAATTACATGTGTTTGGGATTTTGAAGGAGTATAGTTCAAACTGTATAAATTAAAAATAACTTATTTTCACTTGTTACAATAAATTGTTTTTACTGGAACTGAAATCGTTGCTTTTATCCTGGATAGCAGTCTGGTAAATTTGGTCATTTTGGTGGCCTCATTGGGATTTTTTTTTTATATATCTATGTTTTGTGATTACTTGTGGAACAGTGGGGCATGTTTATCAGCACACTTTCCCAGCTAAATTGGTATAGATTTCTCCTCGCATAGAGGAAAGAAAAACTAATGTCAGGGACCTCGACACCCATGTTGGCCTTTTATGTCCTATTGTGGGCCATTTTCTTATCCATTTAATCAAAGGGTGGGATTGAGTGAGATGGAAGTGGCTGGCATAGCTGTTAGTGGTGTTGTAGATGGGATAAAGGTATCCCATTTGACTGTGAAGGAAACACAGTGGCCAGGAAAATATTGAGCTGGGTGAGAGCCACAAAGGGATATAACAATTGGAGTGGTACACCAAGAGCTTTGGTGATTAGTAAGAGCAGAGTTTTAGATGAGTGGAGGAGCGGAGAGAAGATGGTGGCAATTACTCTTGTGGAGCATAAAGTTGTTAACCTTCTTGGAATATTGCTGCACGTTGCTCCCTCTTGTGAGAGCGGGAGGGAAGATCTTAGAATAAGGGGTCACTCATTTAAGACAGGTGCAGAGGAATTGATTCTCAGAGTAGTGAATCTGTAGAATTCTGAAATGCAAAGGGCTGATGAGCCTGGATTTTTATGTATTCTTAAGGTTGAGTAAATAGACAGATTTTTAATCCGTAAGGGTATCAAGCGTTATGAGGAAAAGGCAGGAAAGTGGCGTTGAGAATTAGCACAGAACCACAGTTCTTACAGTGCAGAAGACAGCCATTTGACCCATTGTACCTCCACCAGTACTACTACCTAATGCCAACCTCCTACCTTTTCCCTGTATCACTGCACATTAGTTCTATCCAAATTATTATCCATTGCCTCTCTCTCAGCAATGATCTCATTGAATGAGAGCAGACTTAGTCATAGTCATACAGCACAGAAATAGCCTCTTGGGTCCAAGTCATTGATCCCAACCAGCTTTCCCAACTAGCTTTCCCAACTAAACCAGTCCCATTTTCCTGTATTTGGCCCATATCCATCTTGATGGGCCTGATAGCCTACTTTAGCTCCAATGCCTTATGATCTTGCGCTCTTTGGACAGCAGACACTACAGTGACTCAGATGGCTGCTTGACACCTGGCTGGCAGGGTCTAGTCCCATTGTTTCCTCTAATGGTCTTGAGGAAAAAGGCACTCCTTTCCCCTACAGCATCCACCAGAACATCCAGATCCCTCTCAGCGAAGTGGCTCCCAACTCTTCTATCTGCCATCTCTATGGCAATTCTTCCCATTATGTGCATGGTAGAGCAATTCCTGACTTGCAGCATTTAAACTATTGCACGGCTGGGATTTAAATATGGCCTAGACAGTGAGAAACCTGGCAAGCTCTAACAGTGACCATTGGCTCTACCTTTGATTGCCATAGAGTCATGTTGCATTCAGAATTGGGTGAGAAGTAGAAAATTTCATCAGATAATCTGCTTGAGCTTACAGAAAGAAACTCTCTTCAAAAGTCCTGAAAAAAATGACTCAGGTTCAATTTGAAAAGTATATTCTAGCTGTGATCATGATTAAAAAAAAAAGTTGAAGGGGAATAAGAATGGTGAAGGTGGCTTTCGGCATGCTAGCTTTCATTGGTCAGGGCATTGAGTTGGGACGACATACTGCAGCTGTACAAGTTGGTGAAGCCACATTTGGAGTATTGTGTGCAATTCTGCTCATCCTAGTGAAAGGATATTAATAACTAAAAAGGAGAACAGAAAATATTTACTAGTATGCAACCTGGACTGGAAGGCTTGAGCTATAAGAAGAGGTTGGATAGGCTGGGATTTTTTTTTTGTTTTTACTGGGGCATAGAAGGCTGAGGGGTGACCTTATAGAGGTATAAAGGCTTAGTGGTTAGCACTGCTGCCTCAGTGTCAGGCACCCAAGTTTGATTCCAATCTTGGGCGACTGTCAGTGAGGAGTTTGCACGTTCTCCTTGTGTCTGCATGAGTTTTCTCTGGGTGCTCTGGTTTCCTCCCCCAGTCCAAAGATGCGCAAGTTAAGTGGATTGGCCATGCTAAATTGCCCATAGTGTTCAGGGATGTGTCAGTTAGGTGCATTAGCCGTGGGAATTGCAAGATTGGAGGGATAATGTAGGGGGATGATTCTGGGTGGGATGCTCTTCGGAGGTTTAGTGTGAACTTGTTGCACTGAATGGCCTGTTCCCACACTATGGGGATTCTGTGATATAAAATCGTGAGCAGCATAGAAAAGGTAGATGGCCGACAGCTTTTCCCTATAGTAGGGGAGTCCAAACTAGAGGACATAGGCTTAAAGGGAGAGATACAAGACAGTCCAGAGAGAGAGATTTTTTTCATAGTGGTGAGTGTCTGGAACGGTGGAAGCGAATACAATTTTGTCATTTTAAAAAACATTTAGACAGGTCCATGGATGGGATAGGTATGGAGGAATATGGACCAAAGGCAGGCAAATGGGACTAGATTAATTTGTGAAAATTGGGTGGCTTGGGCGAAAGGGCCTGTTTCCATGCTGTAGACCTCTGACTCTTAAGAGAGGTCTCCAAGGAACAATGTCAAAAGCAGTGGGGTTAATCTGTTAAGCAAAATACTTGATATTGGCATCCAGACATGTATACAACTTTGAAGCCCTTGAGTGTCAGCAGCAGACAGTGACCTGAGAATATAAGGAAAATGAGCAGACCATTTAGCCACTATTTTCAGTGAGGTTATGGGTATTACCTAACACCATATATCAGACTTTAGTTCGTAACCTTAGTATTAATTTTTAATTTAAAACAACAAATATCAATTCTGTATTAATCTGCCAATTGTTTAGACAGAATCCCTAGCCAATCAACTTAGAAACTTCATTTGATGCCCCACCTCAATTTTAATTTTGCAATTATGATTTTGAACCCATTGACAGTGGTGGCTAGCCCCAGAGTCCCCTCTGAACTCTCGTGCTGTTTTTAATGCCTGAAATGCTCTCTGAATTCTCAGGCCAATTTTGATCTTTCTAGGTTTTAATCACTTTTAGCCAAGTGTTCTTCAAGTGCAAATTATCTTTTTCAATTGTAAATGGAAGTTACTATGAAAATACAGGATACTTTGAGGCAAAAGATTTCGAATGACTGGGCTTGTAGCCTGCTATCCATAAAGCTGGCTGTGGTGATTAAATTGCTTGCAAAGTAAAATGTTTATTAGAAAATCCTCTGCTGCTTTATTAAACCTTAGAAACATAATTGCTTGAATTTTTATTGTTTAAATATGATGTTTTTCTCTCTCCTCAAATGGAAGAAGGATCACTGGACATTCTATGTTAACTCTAATTTCTCTCCACTCATGCTGCTGAACTTGCTGAGTTTTTCCAGCAATTTCTGTATGTTTCAGATTATTACAAGTCTTCCTCATGATTTGCCCTTCAATTTGTGTCAAATCTTACCTTACTGTGCATCATGCTTATAACTTCCTTCTCCTACATCTAAATTAAGAATGAAGCCTATCAGTTCAAATGCTTATAAAATCACCTTTTCATTTGGTCCTCCAGGTGATGCCAACTGCATAGATACACGTGGAGTAGAGGTTGCAATTAAACAGCGTGTAGATGACTCGCTGACTTCAAAGCTCCCAAATTTCTACATTGTCAGCAAACCACAAATATGTCTTACAGAAACTGCCTACCCCTGTCTAACAAATTCTGTTCATAAAACCCTCAGTCTGAACTGGTCTCAGTCAGATTCTTTGGTAGAAGTGGTGAATGGTACAACTGGAAGAATCGCTGAAAGGTAAAAAAAAACTGTTACGCGCTATGTTATTTGAGTAACTTTGTTAATATTTCTGTGTAGATTATCTATTAGTGTAATAAAAGTACTACTTGTTACTTTTTGTCTAAACTACTGTATTACCCAAAATGTTATATTGGATAAGTTTCTTGATTAGTTTGTTCTTTCCTATTAGTTGGCAGCATTAATTAAGGGTGCTGATAAACTATCATCTATGATGAATACATCTCTGATACCTTCGATTTCTTAAATTCCAATTTCTCATTAACTGAATCACTGCATCCTGGTATCTCACATCATCTAAAAATACCTGTCACTCAGCTTCAGGTGTTTAAATTGTTAAAGTTTTTACTTTGTTGTTTTTGATCAAGGCTACCCTTTTCAGTACCTGTTAGTACTAATAAGTTTCCAAACTTCTAGTAACACCATTCAGATTGTCACATTTTATTTTAATTATATATGCAACAGCATCAAAATAGTCTCTTCCTGTAGGAGGAATAGTTCTTGGAAGAGTTTTACAGATACAAAGTGTGAATTCTTCCAGTTACATTAAAGCCGCAGGTAACAAATTACTATCTGCAATGCGGGAAAAGGTCATCTACAATATTGTCCCTTTATGATCTTTATGCCAAGTTCAAGTAAATGCCAACACTTGAACAATGTCAGTGTGGGCTACCCTGCTTTGCGATTAATTTTTCAGTTGTCAGTACCATATTTCTGTACAGTCCCCCACTTTTGGCGGCAGGGGTTGGGGGGAGGGAGGTGAAAAGAATCATATCACTAATTCTGCTCTGGTATTTAGATGAATTTTATGACCTCAAGCTTTCATTATGTTTTAATATTTCTAATTTTACACTTCAATCCTTTCTATTTGTGACCTGTTCTGGAGTTGGCAAACTTTTGTCAATGGGAATTGCCAACGTTGCATATCATAATTAGATGTATGCCAATTTACCAATATTTTAATGCAGTTGTTGGCAGGGCATTGTTCTTAAAAGTTGTTATAGTTAGACATGAAAGTGTTCATGTATGTAAGAATACTTTCTCTGGTGGATGAAATGCTCTCAACATTGCACAGTATTGAGACTCAAAGTTTTCAGTGAGATAATGACATAGTGGTAGTGTCATTGGACAAGTAATTCGGGGCCCAGGTTAATTCTGTGGGGACATGAGTTCAAATCCTACAACAACAGAGAAACATTTGAATTAATAAATCTGGGATGATTTCGTTTTCAGGTAAGGAAATCTGCCGTCCTACCTTTGACCTACCGTGACTCCAGACTTGAGCAACGTGGTTGACTCCTAACTGCACTGTGAAGTAGTCCAGCAAGCTAATAAGTAGTTGCCTTAGTAGGGGGCGGCATGGTGGCACAGTGGTTAGCACTGCTGCCTCACAGCGCCAGGGACCCGGGTTCAATTCCATCCTCTGGCGACTGTCTGTGTGGAGTTTGCACATTCTCCCCATGTCTGCGTGGGTTTCCTCCAGGTGCTCCGGTTTCCTCCCACATTCCAAAGATGTGCAGGCTAGGTAGATTGGCCATGCTAAATTGCCTGTAGTGTTCAGGGAATTGTACATTAGGCCGGTTATAGTGGGATGGGTTTGGGTGAGTGCTCTGAGGGTGGTACGGACTTGTTGGTCCGACGGGCCTGTTTCCTCACTGTAGGGATTCTATGAATTATCAACAATGCATAAATCCCACGAACAATTTTTTTTTTTTTTTAGAAAAAGTACCAGTTGTGTTTGTGCTTTGATTTATTGTTATTTGACAATTTAGCCAACCAGTGATCCTTTAAAACAGTGGAAGAGGTGGCCATCTGTTCATTCTAATTTATTCCACCATCGTTATTCTGTCCATAGTGGAAACATGGTAAGTGTTTTAGGAGTTTTCGGGAGGTGATACTTCACGCTAACATTCACAGAACTAGCCCAGTGTTCCAGGAAATGAAAGTGTGTCTTTTAACCACCTGGCTTTGGGCCGCCTTCAGAACTGATGGCACTAACGATGCTATGAAAATAGTGTGAGTGTCATTGCTAGCTAGGTGGTGTGATTGCTATTTTGGGAAGGCTCCTGACTCATGATCTCTGCCAAGAAGAGGAAAATCCAACCAAATAGTGCTGAATGGACTTCAGCTCTTTTACATATATGGAGGGCAAATGTCTATCAGAACATACAGAAGATGCCTTTGGTAGCTATTTTGATGTTTTTAGCAGTTTTGCACAATTTCTATGGCAATACATTAGCAACATTTTGGTACACTCTACAGTACTAACAGGTTGCAAACATAGCAATGAGTAGGAGTTTATTTTTTGTCCCTTTTCAAACTGTTCTATATGTGATCATAGCAGAATTGATAGTGGCATCTCTATACTTTCCAGTCAACCTACTTTCTTGATCAAGAATCGATTGATTCTTGCCTTAAACTTTGCCTTAAAAATGTTCAATAATCCTGCCCACACTCCACTAGGAAGAGCATTCCACATACTAACAAACTCGAGAGAAAAGAATTTCTCTTTACTGCCAATCTTGTGGGAGACCCTGTCTTTAAACTTGCACCCTCTAGTTCAGAAGAGAAAATGTCCTGTCAGCATCCACTCTGCCAAGTCGTCTTAGCACTTGACAAAATCATCTTTTGTTCTCCTGAACGCCAATATTTGCAGTCCCAACATGCCCCTTTCCTCATTAAATGACTCCTTAATCTCTGGAATCAATTGAGTGAACTTCTAATGCAAATGTATCCCTCCCTAAGTAAGAAGACCCAAACTATCCATAACGTTTCAAATATGGTCTCTCTGAAACTATAAAAAAGCAGTAGTCATTACCACATCTCGAATACTGTGAACAGTTTTGATCCCCCTTATCTAAGGAAAGATACTGATATTGGAGGAATTCCAGACAAGGTTCACAAGATTGATTCAAGGTATGGAAGGATTTTATGAGCAGAGGTTGAGTAAGTTAAGCCTGGACTCGGAGAGGAGAGGTTATTTCCCCTCGTGGAGAGTGTCTAGAACCAGATGACATCAGCTAAGAATTTGTCATTTAAGACAGATGATAAGGATTGCCTTTCTTTGAGGATAGTGAATCTGTTACATTCTGTACTGCAGAGAACTGCTGAGTTTGGGTTAATATTAAAGACTGAGATAAATTCTTAATCAGTAAATGAATTGAGAGGTATAGGGAAAAGGCAGAAAAGTGGATTTGAAGGGTGAAACAGACTCGATGGACCCAATTAGCCTATTTCTGTTCCTGCAATTTTTGATGTTCGGCTCTGTACATCTGTATCGGAACTTCCCTATTTTTATACTTAATTGTCCTGAGGGTTATCAGCAATATTCCATTTGCCTGTTTACTAACTTGTCATCGCCATCTCCACTGCAGTATTCTGCAATTGCTTTCCATTTAAATAGCATGCATTATATAATTCATCCAGCTAAAGCAGCTAAATTTATATTTTACCACTGTGTACCACAACTTTCACTGACAGATTTTGATTTGACCGATTTTATCATTTCCTGCTTTCTGTTTCCCTCCTTTCTTGAATAGAGGAATTACATTCACTATTTTCCAGTCTGATAGGACACTTCCATAATCTAGGGAATTTTAGAAAATTACAACCAGTACATCTCCCCAGTGTCGTACACTTACAAGTCTCAAGTCAGCAATGTGTTATAATACTCTTCACTTTTGTAGATTGGTGCAGCAGCATAGATTCATACAGCATGGACTTCGTCTAACTCGTCCATACTGACCAGGTATCCCAAACTTAACTAGTTCTATTTACTGCATTTGGTCCATTTCCCTCTTTGCTATTCATGTACCTGTCTTAATATGTTTTAAATCGTGTAATTGTACCTGCCTCTACCTCTTCCTCTGGCAGTTCGTTCTATACACGCACCAGCCTCTGTGTGAAAAAGTTACCCCTGAGGTCCCTTTTAAATCTTTCTCCTGTCACCTCAATCCTATACCCTTTAGTTTTGGACTCCCCTACACTTGAGTAAAAGACCTTGGCTATTCATCTCATCTGTGCCCCTCATTATTTTATAAACCTCTATAACGTCACCGGACCGCGCCCCCCAACCTCCTACGCTCCAGTGAAAAATGTCCAAGCCTATCCTTACAACTCAAACCCTCCAGTCCCAGCAACATTCTTGTAAACTTTTTCTGCACCCTTTCTAGTTTAACAATATCCTTGTTGTAGCAAGGTAATCAGATTGTATGCAGTATTCCCAATGTCTTGTATAGCTGCAACATAACCGCAATTCCTGTAATCAGTGCTGTGAGCAATGAAGGCAAACGTGCCAAACGCCTTCCTCACCACCCTTTCTACCTGGGACGATACTTTCGATGAGAAAGTGTGTTTACCTACTTGCACCCCTAGGCCCCTTTGTTCAACAACACTGCCCAAGGCCCTGCCATTAATTGTGTAAGTCCTGCCCTAGTTTGCCTTACCAAAATTTAACACCTCACGTTTATTTAAATTAAATGCCATCTGCCACTTGTCAGCCCATCGGCCCATCTGATCAAGATCTCTTTGTACTCTTAGATAACCTTCTTACCACAAATTTTGGTGTCAGCTGCAAACTTACTAACCATACAGTGGACCCAGAACCAATCTTGGCGGGACCCTGCTGGTTACAGGCCTCCAGTCCGAATTAAAAACCCTCTACTGCCATACTCTGTCATCTACCATCGAGCCAATTTTGTATCCGATTCGTTATCGCCCCCTGGATCCGATGTGATCTAACTTTACTAATCAATTTACCGTGTGGGATCTTGTCAAAGGCTTTGCTAAAGACCATATAGACAACGCCTACCACTCTGTGCTTATCCATCTTCTTGGTATCCTCATTAAAATAACTCCAGATTCTGAGACACTTTTTTTCCCCACACACACAGCCATGTTGACTATTCCGAGTCAGTCCTTGCCTTTCCAGTGCATGCAAATCCTATCTCTCAGAAGCCCCACCAACAATTTACCCACCACTGACATCAGGCTCGCTGGTA